CAAATCTGCAATCAGTTGTTTGGGAACAGAGAAAATGTTTTCGGTCAGGCAGACAATAATAATTTTACATCTGCCTTAACGTCCGCTGGTACATCTCAATGTGGTGAATCCAATCAGAGTTAAAGCTTCTCACAGTGACTCAGGCTTCAGCTGATGGTTGGATGATGGTTGGATGATGGTTGGATGGATGAATGGCATTTGGATGAAGGTTGGATGATGATGTCAACATGAAAAAGCTGAAATCCCCTCCACACACAATGTCTCAGACTGATGGTTGGATGGCAGTTGGATGATGGTTGGATGGTTGGATGAAGGTTGGATGAGTGTTGCAACATGAAACAGCTGAATGCTCCTCCACACACAGGGTCTCAGTTTTTGGCTGATGGTTGGATGGATGGATGATGGTGGATGATGGATGGATGATGGTTGGATGGTGGATGGATGATGGTTGGATGATGGATGGATGATGGTTGGATGATGGTTGGATGATGGTTGGATGTTGGTTGGATGATGGGTGGATGCAACGTGAAACAGCTGAACTCTCCTCCACACACAGGGTCTCAGTTTTTGGCTGATGGTTGGATGGATGGATGATGGTGGATGATGGTTAGATGTTGGTTGGATGGATGGATGTTGGTTGGATGATGGATGGATGATGGTTGGATGGTGGATGGATGATGGTTGGATGATGGATGGATGATGGTTGGATGATGGTTGGATGTTGGGTGGATGATGGGTGGATGCAACGTTAAACAGCTGAACTCTCCTCCACACACAGGGTCTCAGATTTCAGCTGATGGTTGGATGGTTGGATGATGGTTGGATGTTGGTTGGATGATGGAAGGATGATGGTTGGATGTATGGATGATGGTTGGATGCAACATGAAACAGCTGAACACACAGGGTCTCAGCTCTACTGGACCTGTAGAATCAGTGATGACATCATTCAGTGAAATATTTCATGATGTCATCAGCAGCAAACAGAAGGTTCTGAAACCTGATCCGGGCCCAGGATCAGAACATGTTCTTCTGAGRGAACAAACAGTGTCAGAACACACGGTGCCATTGATCCTGTCAGTAAAATATTCCATGAAGCTGATCATGTCTAGTACAGATTAATGTTTCTGCACAGTTAAAGTAGAACTGCTCTACTTTCTAAAAGAGGACCTCCTGGATCTCCTGAACCTCCTGGACCTCCTGGACCTCCTCTTCCAGGAACTCTTTTCTTTTTTTCAAACGTGACCCAGTTTCCCAACACGCGTGGAGCAGATGTCCAACAGGCAGCAGCTCCACAGCAGATAAACCCTCTGAACTCTGAACCGAGCAAACAGCCAGAGGGAGCGACGCTCTGCAGAGGCAGACTGGACCAGAACCGGATCAGAACCGAGCTGAGACCAGGTGAGGACAGATATCGTGTTCTTCAGGATGTTTCTGAGCTGAAACCCAGAGAAAAGAGGAAAAGCAGAGGAAAGAAAAGACAGAAAAAAGAARAATCTGCTGAACATCTGGAGAGAGCAAACAAAGATCTTCTCTTCAGACAGATGGATTTACTTGGCTCTGAATGAATGAATGTTTTAAAATCAGTTTTCTGTGCAGTAAGCTGAGTTTGTGATTTATTTTCAGTGTTTTATTTCTTTATTTTCCTCAGTTTAAGCTGCTGATCTGAAACAGATCTTTGTTGGTTGTGTTTCTCTCTCAGGTTTTGCTTCACATTATTCAAATCMGTTTTTCTTCTGTAGTTTTTAGCCTGCATCTTCTGCAAAGTTTGTGCCTTTTTTAACAGTTTCATCTCTTTCAGGACATTCCAGCTATGACTCTTTGTATTTCAGCTTTTTATACTTTAACTTTTCCTCTTCTGTCACATTATTCCCAGTGAGAATGAATGGAAATGTTTTCAACATCCTTAAAATCCTTCAAAATGTTTATAAATCTTTACAGAAACTCAGCTTTTGTTCTGATTCTGCTCTTTTTAACCTGCTTGTGATTATTTTAGCTTCTTGTTAAGAAATAGATGGTAAAATGTGATCAAACCCCACCTGAGCAGTGTTTAAGGTCATCGCTCTTTTTGTTTCTCCTGCAGGACGTTTCCAGCCTGAAGCTGCTGTTACAGTCTGAGGAGGTAAAGTTTAACATTTAAACTCTTTCTGCTCCTCCAACAGGTCAGTTGAAACTGTGTGAAGCTATTTATGTATCATAACTTCTGTTACACAAAACAAATACTTATGATACATAACTGGCTTCATAAAAAACTGCATGTTTCTGTGTAAAARCAGCAGCTTTGTCTCCCCCTGCTGGACACCTGAGGAACAACACTCTGCAGCAGCTTTATGACCCAGCAACTTTTACATTTTGTTTCTGCTTTTCAAATAAACTCTAGGAGTAAAATATCTGCTACATGAAGCAGCAACAAATTATTAAAGAAAATAAAACCAGCTGAAAGCATAAAACTAAATAAAGACAAGTATTTTTGAAGAATTCAAATATTGCTAATAGACCAATTGTTTTTAATCAAGATCAAACAGAAATGTTTTTATGAGTTTTAAACTTTAATTTCAGGTTTCAGCAGCAGGATGAAGATGATGCAGGTCACCCTCCATCCAGGCTCTGGCTCCAGACCTGAACCCTGGAGACCCCCAGCACCTGAGCAGGTCCAGACGGACTCCTTCCTGACCGCGGCCCGGCTCCTCCGTGAAGGATGGACGAACGACGGGACGAGCAGGAAGCAGACGCCGTCGTCGCTTCGACCGCATCCCACCGCTTCTGTGGGACCCCAGGTCCAGGACTCCAGAACCAAACGGGTCCACATCGTCTTCAGGACCCAGGACAAAGACATGAACATTGATAGAAACGGACCTGAAGGCACCGCTGCAGGGACAGGGGTGSTGAGGTTTACAGCGTCTGGCTGCCGCAGCAAATGTAAACAAGCTGGGAGGTCAAAGGTCACCGTGCTGCCYGTCATATCTGAGCTGTAGGCTCCAGAACCAAGTCCAGGTTTACCGTCCTTCACTAGAACGTCCAGTTCTGAAAGCTCAGGCAGACATGTTTGATTTAACAGAGTGGAATAAAAACAGCTGAAGTTTAGCTGCTGACTTGCTCTGCTGTTAAATTATCAAAATGTGTTTTTCACTGTTTTTAGATAAAGTTGGATCAATAAATTTGTCCTCTTTAATCAACTGATTAGATTAAAATGATCTAAACGGTTCAAACATTTAGTTTATCTTTTGATAAAACTTTGAAGTCATTTTGTCAAATTAATTTGCTCAAAAACGTAAACATTAAATACAAAAACAGATTTTTGTAACAAATGTGAATGTTTATTACTAATAAATGCCAGAGACACCGGCCAAGAAGACTACAATGAAGAAATCAAATCTGTTTAAAAAAAAAAATCAATAACAGACATTTTAAAACCAGCAGTAATTAAATACTTTAACAGAAACAGTCGGTTAAACGTTACATCCTAAACACCTGCAGGCCWACAGTCGCCCACCTCACCGGGAAGTTTAATGTTTGCAATGATTGTGGCACAAAGCTCGCAGGGCTCTAAGATCAAAATAAAACCTAAACATTTCACCCTAATCCTGTTCGATAAAAAGGTTTGAGTCCCCCCCCTCCCTCCCCCCCTGAAAAGGTCAGCTTTAAAACAACAAAAACTTACAGAAAAAATAAAATAAAAACGGCTTTGCCCACAAAAAACAAAAAAAGAAAAGCTTCTTTACAGCGCCTCGATTTTCATCCTGTAAAGCCAGTCAACATGTAAAATACAACCCTTACAATACATTAGAATCAAACAGGTACCAAAAAGTACAGTAAAAATTACACTTCCTGTGGAAATGTGGAGGGGAAGAGAAAAACAACAGAAAAAAAATTAAAACTGAAAAATCATGACGTTAAAAAAAGAAAMAAACAAACAAACATGGAAAAGTTACATATCAGATGTTTTCTGTACAAATGGTCTTCTGTCATAAAAGAGCTGTAGTGAGGCCCAGTTTGTCCATCCAGCTGCTGGTCCCACTGGATCACTGGAGTCCTGAGAGGAGGACACAAACGTCACAGAATTCAATTTAAGACCAATATATGAACATCCAGGATGTAGAGAAGAAAATACGTTTTAATTTTTCATGTTCGCAGCAGCTGTTTTATTTCCAGAGCAGCCAACAACACGACAGCTGATTGTTGTAACTTTCTTCAACTCAGTAACTGTTGCAGGAGCTTTTTATGGAGCATTTGAGCCAGAAATTAAGATTTGAACACAAGACTTATAATAAACTAGTGAATTTGAGACTTTAGGGCCTAAAATTAGGATTTTAGACAGATTTAGACTTTAAGACCTGACAGCTCCAGCTGAAACATCTCAGTGTTTGAAGAATAAAGGAAGTCAGTCCAACCTGGTGATCATCAGTAAGGCTTGTAGCTGGTCTGGTGTGCCCCCCGCCTCGGGGTCTTTCCATAGCTGGCGTTTCCCTGGCCTGAAGAGACAAAACCACAGGTCAGTGTTTTATTATTTATTCAACTACAGCAGGACCCTCAAATTCAGTTAAATCTGATCATTTCTACATGAGGTCAAAGGTCAGAAACATCTGTTTAGTTTCTCCAGATGTGGACTCTAAACAAACTTACTGTAGTCGTATCCAGAGCCGTATCCATAGTATCCAGAGGAGTAGTCGTAGCCGCCGTAGCCACCGTATCCACCGTAACCGTAGCCCTGGTTGCCGTAGCCCTGGTTCCAGTAGTTCCCGTAGCCCTGGTTCCAGCCCTGGTTCTGACCTGACACAAATATACAGGTGTGGTTACAAACCAGTTAAAAACCTGTTCAGSTTCCAGCACAGAAAAAGATCAACGCTAACCTCCACGTCCTCCTCTTCCTCCTCCCCGGACTGCGTATCCTCCCCCTCCTCCACGTCCTCCTCCGAACTGCTGCTGCTGCTGCTGGTACACCTCCTTGGGCTGTGCGATCTTCAGCTCACACTGCAGAGACAGACCGAGGCGTTAGCTGCTGACCACTGAGCTGCTTGCTCCAGGCAGAGGTGATGCAACGCACCCTGCCCCCCTGGATGGTGTGATACTTCTTCTCCAGACACTTCTTCACGCTGGCCTCGTCTTTRTACGTGATGAAGATGAAACCCCTCCTCTTCTTCGACTTGGGGTCGATGGGAAGCTCGATGGTTTCGATCTGAAAGGTGAAGTTTGTTAAAAACAAAACGTACAAGACCAATTTCACAGAAAAAAAGGACAATAAATAAATAAAAAACAACCAGAATCTCATGAATCAAAGTATTTTTGGGTGAAGTATTCAAATATTCCTAATAAACAAATTGTTTTTAACCATATCCAACTGCTTTTTGGTCAAAAAAATTCTTAGTCAGTTTTAAACTTAATTTAATTGCTTGAAATCCTCTAACAACTTAAAATTTAGCGGGATCTCAACCCCAATTTGTTGTAGATAAATCCTTAAAGTACCTGAGACATCAAGTTTTTTGTAAGAAAAGTGAATGCATATTTTTGAAAGACAACAAAAACAAATTTCACGATGCTCTGACGGACAGTTGTTGAGATATTTGCATGTGAAGTAACAGGAAGTGATGTCAGAGGAATGTCTGCATGTGAATGTTTTAAAAAATAAGATAGTCTAGGTGAAATAGGGATTTCCACGACAGTTTTACAAAGTGCTAACATTTGTAAGACTTCTGAAAGATTTAAGACATTTTAAGGCTGATTTAGGCCTTAATTCTGAATCGATTAATTTAATGATTTAAGACTTAAGGACCCGGGGACACCCTGTAAAATAACGAACCTCTCCAAAGGTAACAAAATATTCTCTAATCGAGTCCTCGGTTGCTTCAGGGTTCAACCCCCCGACAAAGATCTTCTTGACGGGCTCCTTCTTCATGGCCATCGCCCTCTTGGGGTCGATCTGACGTCCGTCCAGCCTGTGTTCCCTCTGCTCCAGCACCTGCACGCACACGCACACGCACACACACACACACACACACACACACACACACACAC